TCAGCCACCACGCCCAGCCCTACATTTTTGCAAATCTTTTTAATGTCTGGGTTAATAGAAAATAGTTAGATTCTCAGATCTGCTTTTGCTTTCAGTCTGTTTGATATCACGGCATGTATCTTCTGAGAAATTCCACTGTACACCCATGAGAGAATAAGGGTGGAAAAGGCAAAGAACACCTTAATATGATCATGAACATAGCTTTGGCCTGAAAGAGTCTCAGGGAGCCTGAAGGTTCCCTGGATCACACCTTGAGAACAGCTGGTACAGAGAAGCCAGTTTGGAGGCTGTTGCAGTAGGCTAGATGAGAGATAATGAGGGTTCTGAACCAAAGCATTGGTTGGATGAATGGAGAAAGGGAGATGAACATGAGAGAAATTTAAGAAGAAAAACCAGAAGGTCCCAGAAGGAGATATAGGGTCAAAGGCAAGGGTAATAATTGAGTTCCAGCTGGGTACGTGCTTCACAATCAACCTGCAAAGCAACTATTTAGCTAGGAAATGGCAGCATTTGAACCCAGGTCCATCCAACACAGAAGGTCTTTTTGTTTTACCCACGGTAGAGTTAGAAGGAGTAGTTATGGCAAGGAGGTGAAGCCCTTCTTAGAGATAAGAGAGAGGATGAGTAATGCAACAGAAAGATTTTGAAGTAGAGAGGAGAGAAGTAGTAGTAATTAACTCCATAGGTTGGTCCAGTTCAGAGTTATAATGATGGCAGACTACTAGGCCAGGTTGAGTGTTGGGATAGTGGAAGATCTCAGAATGTTCTGAGTCACTGACAGGCTAACTGCTCTTAGGAGTTGGGGTTGAGCTGAGCGGGCAGTGGGGGTGTCCGGAGGAAGAAAGGCCCTCTGCCAGCTTTGATTTTTGCCTTGTTATACTGCAGGATGGATCCATGCTGTGCTGACTCCTGTGGACTGCCTTGCCTTTGGAGGGAACTTCTTACACAGCCTTAACATCGAAATGCAGCTCAAGTGAGTCCTGAAGCTGTGGTGATCCCAAGTTGGCCATTCCTGTCTTCTAAGAGTCCTTGGTCTCTCCCCTGCAGTGAGGAGTACAATGTAGAAGGAGGGGAGACAATCAGAAAAGGATGGATCCTATTTCCTGATGATCAGTTTGAGAATTAACACCTTTTCCTCACTTACTAGTTATGTGACTTTGGGCAAGTTACATAACCTTTGAGCCCAAAGTTTCCTAATGTATAAAATAGGGTCTTACAGGGTCATTGTGAAGATTAGAGATACAAAGTATCCAGAATAATACCTGATATATAGTAGGTGCTCAGAAAATGGATCCTTGTTTTTGTTGTTATGCCGCCTCCTTCCAGAGCCTACGAGATTGAGAAGCGGCTGAGCACAGCAGACCTCTTCAAGTTCCCCAACTTTGAGACCATTTGTTGGTATGTGGGAAAGCACATCCTGGACATCTTCCGAGGTATGAAGCCCTTTGCCAACTATCCCTTTTGCCCTGCTTCCCTGAGTGCATGTGGTCTATCACCACAAAGATCTCCTCACTATGTAGATCAGAACATGTTGTACACTTTAAATATATACAATAAAAACTGATAGTTACTGCTTTAAGAAAATCTCCTTAGTGCTACCCCTTCATAGTTTCACCCACTCTCTTCTCCTGCACCATCCATAAGTTCTGGAAACCACTAATCTGTTTTACATTTCTATAATTTTTTCATTTCAAGGGTATTACATAAATGGAATTGTATAATATGTGACCTTTTAAGATTCACTTTTTTACTCAGCGTAACTCATGGCAGGGCATGGATTTTAACCTTTTTATTTAGCACGGGTGGCTGAGAAAACTGGATCACAGTGCAATTATCCCTATTTCCTACTCGTTAAGAAACTCAATCTGAATAGTCTAAGAATTTCCTGGATGTGCCTCCCATGGGGATAAGGCCTAGTCCTGACCATTCTGGTACCCTGTTGAATCCTGGATATCAGCCTAGGTGAAAGCCTGCTTGCTTGCTGGGTTTCTTATTTCCTGGTCTGCTCTGAAATAGAGCAGGTCCATTGCTCTGGCCTGAGATTCTTCAAGGTGACTTGCCCAGGAGGAATCAGTATCTCAGAGTTACAAAAAACCTCAGAGACCAATAAGTACAGTCTCCTATCTGATACCTCATGCCCTTATTCTGCCACCTAGACAGACTGTCACTTATGTGTTCAATCAGATGATGGATAACTAACTGCTCATTACCTGTTCTGAACAGCTCAGTTCAGTAGAAAAGTCTTTATAGAGCCTAAATCTGCCTGTTTGTAATAGCTACCCCCTGAAATAAGGCAGAACATAGCTAATCAATCTTCTATATTAATGGCCCTTCAAATCTGAGTAGATAGCAATCATGGTCCTCTTGAGTGTCCTCATTGTGAAACCCAAGAGGGAGTAATGTAATGGAGGAAGCACAGGCCTCAGATTCAAGAAGACATGGTCTCAGTCCTGGCTCTGGTACTTTCTAGGTGTGTGTGCTTGGTCAAGTCTCTTTGCCTCTCTGAGCCTCAGTTTCCTAGACTGTAAAATGAATATAATATTGTCTGGCTCATAGGATGGGTATTAGGATTAAATAAGATAATAAATGTCAAATGCCTACTACTTAGTAGATACTCAGTAAATGAACACTATTAGAAGAACTGAAATCTAGACTTATACTTAGAACCCTGAGCATTTTCTCTGGTTGCTTAACAGAGGTAACAAGTCCTTTACTTCCCTAGATGGCTTCTTTGACACTCTGCTTGCTCTTTCTCCCGTTAGGTTTGCGAGAGAACAGGAGACACCCTGCCTCCTACCTGGTCCATGGTGGCAAAGCCCTGAACTTGGCTTTTAGAGCTTGGACAAGGAAAGAAGTAAATATGCCTATTTCTCTATCTCTTCTAGAATTCTGCCCTCCATAGGGACTGGTATTCGGTAGATGTGTTGGAGACACAGACCAGAGAATCTTGTGAGCTCCTGGGGGTAGAATGGAGGACTGGGCTAGCATTCCTTGGATAACAATTTAGCCCTTCTTTCTGATTATAAAAAGTAATGCATACTTACACTGAGAATTAGAAAAATACAGAAGAGACTGGGTGCGGTGACTCCAGCCTGTAATCTCAGCACTTTGGGAGGCCGAGGCAGGAGGATTGCTTGAGCCCAGGAGTTTGAAGTTATAAGTGAGCTATGATTGCGTCATTGTACTCCAGCCTGGGTGACATAGCAAGACCCTATCTCTTAAAAAGAAAAAATATAGAAGAGTATAAAGAAGGAAAAAAATCACCTGTAATTTTAATACTCAAAGGGAGCTACCATTAAAATTTGAGTTTTTTTCCTTCTGATATTTTTAATATGCATTTTAAAACATAATTGCTATCATACTGTGCAGTTGACCCTTAAACAATGCAGGGGTTAGAGGCTCAGACCCCTCCCCATGCAGTTGAAAATCTGCCTATAACTTTCAATTCCCCAAAAACTTAACTACGAATAGCCTACTGTTGATCAACAGCCTTACCAATAACATAAACAGCGATCAACGTATACTTTGTATGCTGTATTATGTGTTATATACTGTGTTCTTACTATAAAGTAAGCTAGAGACAAGAAAATGTTATTAAGAAAGTCATAAAAAGAAGAGAAAATACGTTTACTATTCATAAAGTGGAAGTGGATCATCATAAAGGTTTTCATCCTTGTCTTCATAGAAGGAAAAGGAGGGGTTGGTTTTGCTGTCTCAGGGGTGGCAGAGGTAGAAGAAAATTTGTGTGTAAGTGGACCTGTGTAGTTCAAACCCGTGTTGTTCAAAGGTCAACTGTATATCCAATTATGTATGTGAATCTATTGGCTTATCTTAATTTTCCTGTGTCACCAAATTTATCCACGCACATATAATAGTTACTCGATATTCTTTTGCAGGAATGTACCATCCTTACCTAACCCACTTGCTTATTGTTTCCTTTTAATTAATTATTTTTTAGGGGGTTATAGAGAATCATACAGTAAATATCTGTATGCATCAGTCTCTGTCCCTCATCTCTTTATTGTTTCTTCAGGATAGATTCCTGGAAGAGCAATTACTGGATCAAAGTATATGAAAAAATGTAAGGCTCTTGATGTATAGTGCCAAAATAGTTTTTTAGAAATGTACCAATCAATATTCATCTATCCAACTCAATACTAAACAGTTATAAAAGAGAGTAAGAAAGCTCTCTATGTACTGATTTGGAAAGATCTTCAGAATTTGTCAAGTAAAGGTGCAGAATCGTGTGTATACTACCTTATATATGTGAAAAGGGGGGAAATAATTTTATTTGTATATGCTTGTATTTGCCTGAAGATACAATCTGGAGGATGCAGAAACTAGTGAAAGTGGTTACCTCTGGGGATGGGATGCTGAGGTTGATGGCAGGGACAGGGTAGGAGTGAGGCTTTTCAGTATATATCTTTTTATATTGTTTGATTTTGACCCTTGTAAATGGATTGTATCTTTTCAAAATATTGAGTTTTTTAGAAACAACCACAAAATGCAAAAACAGAAGAAATAGCAATATATACTCTTATGTTTCAGATACTCTTTCTCCTGCATACAGTGACCAAAGGAGACCTTTCAGCCACTGGAGGCTTAACTTGTGCAATCTCCCCATTTCCTGTTGCCAGCCTTCCCCTCAGATATTCTTTTGGGCCTTTCCTTGCTCCCTGGGCTTACCTACACCTGGACCTTATCCTGTAATTCTGTTTCTCTCCACCTCTTAAGTGTGGCTACCTTAAGTTTCATCTCTGACACCTCCCATGAAGTGAACTTCAGAGTGACTGTGTCCCAGGAACACCAAAAGGGAGGTGGGTGGGGTCTAAGCACTTATGCCCTGGGTCAGGATGGACCCAAGGACCAAGGGATAGCCCCAAACAGCATGGCCAAAGGGAGTTGGAGGACAATAGAACACAGTTTTGAGGAGCCCATGCTCATGGAAGATGTCTTTTGTGAAGTGTAGACAACTTGCGTGGGAGGCACTTGCTGCCTCACCTTTTCAGAGACCCTGGTCAGGGAGGGAGGGAGCCATTAAGGTTATACAGAAGGGTCACATCTGTTCTCGGTTCCCCAGCCAGCCACCAAAATAAATTCTGGATAAATTAAAAGAGTTAAAGGAAAGAAGAATTAAACCATGAGAAACAAAAAGGAAATGCTGAGGAATTTTTATCAGTCCTCTGGATACAGAAATGAAGATAAAATGGGTGGGGAAAATCACAATAGAAAAGGTTTAGATCTACATAAAAATGTAAGTCTCAGTACTCAAAAGGATGGCAGATAAATTAAAAGAGAGCCAACTAAAAAGTTGCTGTTGAGTTAGCTATGGGCCTGTAGCTGTTCAGCGCTGAGTTCTGTCCTCACAAGTAGAGAGGCCAGTTTGTCCCCATTGATCTCCCTGAGGTCCTTGACTTTTTGAGGGGTGTGGCCCAAGCCCACAACTGAGTTCCTCATACCTCTCGATACTGTCATTTATCAGGTATATGTTTTGCAAATGTTCTCTCAGCCTGTGGCTTGTCTTAAAGTAGCAGAAGTGGTGAAGTAGCAGAGGTTTTCAAAGAGAAGTTTTTATTTTTGATTAAGTCCAATTTATCTGTTTTTTCTTTTCTGGTTCATGCTTTTTGTGTCCTGAGAAATCTTTTTTTTTTTTGTTCAGGATATTATGGGGGCACAAACATTTTGGTTACATGTAATGCTGTTTGCCCTGCCCAAGCCAGGGCTACAAATGTGACCCTCCCCCATACAGTGCATTCCACTTCTATTAGTTGTGAATTTACCCACCCCCTAGCTCCGACTGGCACCCAGTGAGTGTTACTACCATGTGAACAACTTAGTGTTGGTCAGTTAGTACCAATTTGATGGCGAGTACATGTGGTGCATGTTTTTCCATCCTTGTGATACCTCACTTTGAAGGATGGGCTCAATCTCTATCCAGGATAATATAAGAGGTGCTAGATCACCATTGTTTTTTGTAGTCGAGTAGTATTCCTTGTTATACATATACCACATTTTATTAATCCACTCATGTATTGATAAGAAATCTTTGCCTAACTGAAGGGCACAGAGTTTCTCCTCTCTCTAAAGGGTTTATTGTTTTAGGTTTTACATTTAGGTCTGTGATCTATTTTTTGAGTTTTTTGTGTGTGTGTGTGTGTGTGTGTGTGTGTGTGTGTGTGTGCGCGCGTGCGTGGTATAGGATATGGATTGAGGTTCTGTCTTTTTTTTCACATGGATATCCAATTGGTCAAGGACCATTTGTTGAAAAGACTACCCTTTCTCCCCTGAATTGCCTTGGCACATTTTGTCAAACATCAGTTATCCGTTGTTGTGTGGGTTTATTCCTCATGCCTCTTGTTTGACAGGCTCTGCCAGATCATGAGGATGAGATCCCGGAGACAGTGCGGACTGTACAGCTCATTAAAGATTTGGCCAGGGAGATCCGCCTGGTGGAAGTAAGACGCATAGGAGGGGAAAGAAGGTGTTTGGGAAGGGCTTGAGGCTCAAATGGCAGGTTAGGCTTCTGCACTTGGCATGAGAGCCCAGGGGAAGGGTTGGGAACACCTCACCAAGGATCCTATTTATTCAGTCATTCATTCATCCAAATAATTATTATGGGCTTTGAGTGTGCCACACATTGGGCTAGTGTCTTATAATACATAAATAATACAGTGCTTGCCCACAAAGAACTCACAGTCTAGTAGAAGACCGTGAGCAAAGTTAACCTAAGTCTCAGTTTCCTCATCTCTAAGATGGGGATAATTGTACATATTCAAGGATTGCTAAAAGCATTAAATAAGGTAATGTGGGTTGAGCACTAAGTATAGTGCTTGGCACACAGTAGGTACTCAATAAATTCTGATGCTGGGTCGTGGTGGTGGGTGGTGGTTGGTGGTGGTTATAGTTGTTGTTATTAATATTTTGACTCAGTCTCTGCATTCCGCAAAATGACAGTTCTCTCAGGTTGAAGATGATTACAAAGCCATGTTTCAACAGGTGGCATATACCACGAGGCAGTAAGGTATAGTGGTAAGAGACCCAGAGAAACCTGGGTTCTGGTTCCTTGCTCTGTCACTTGCAAGCCTTTCAGAGCCTCAGTTTCCTCACCTGTAAAGTGGGGATAACACCAACCTTTCAGAGTTTTGTTAGGATTAATAGCTAATGTATTTAGAGCACAGTGCCTGGCAGAGTAAGTACTCAATAAATGTGAGCTAGTGTTGTTAATAGACTTTGCAGCAAAGAGAGAACTTGGTGTGGGATGGTAAAGTAGCAGAGGCACCAGAGGAGAATTAGACTTGGGGATGTTTAAACTTTCCTTTAGCTCAGAAGCTGTAAAGTTCCATTTAGTGTACAGGATATACATCCATGCTGAAGCGTGGTCGGAGTGAGCTACTGGGAAGTTGGGCTTCCAGACTCACTGCTTGCAGCATGTTTCACTGCCTACACCATAGCTTATAGTGTCCACCTCCTACTTCATTTTCCTCTACTCTCATCTGTCAGAATCCTTCAGGATTTAGTTAAAGGCCCCCCTTTTCTCCAGCTCTTCCCATTTAAACCAATTTTGTACACACAGAACTTTGAGCTGGTTGGAAGAAGACTTAGAGCTAGATCATATCGAGTCCACTGGCATTCAAATGTTTTAAAGCAGTGGAATCCTTTTAAAAAAGTAAGATCTTATGTGGAAGCCCAATATATACAACAAATCAAAGCATAGCTGCTTCGAATAGGATGAAGGTAGGAGACTTGGGGCTCCACTTGTTCCTCTCACCTGCCTTCCACTTACCTCCAGTCACCAGGGCTCCTAAGAAGCTCAAAGGAGCCACAAAACATCTTCAAAAACCACCTTTCCAGTCTAGCCCTTTAATTTTACAGCTGAGCAAACAGAACCTTAGAGTGGTCAGATAAACTTTCCTGAGGCTAGAGAGGTAGCTAGTCGCAGAATTAGGACTAGAACCTCTCTCCTTCTCTCAAATCCTGTAGTCCTTAGAGTTTGAACCACACAGATTAGTACTTGATTATTTTCTGTCTCATGTCAGTTCCTCTTGGAGTCTTTTCTCTTTAATTTTGATAGTAGTGCTGGGCTTTTCCTTTGCTCGTCTTCTCCTTACTCATTAATGGCTGGGCAAAGAAATGCCACCCAATAAATTCTTGATGACTCATTCTGCAAAATCTAGGGTGTGCATATGTGGAGCATCTGTAAGCCACTTCCACGGCAGTACCATCTGTGCCAGAAACAGACCTCTGCTCTTAGTGTTGAGAGAACCCTTGAGTAAGCTCTAACCCCCTCGTGTACTAACACTCTTATAGGATATCTTCCAACAGAACGTTGGGAAGACGAGCAATATCTTTGGGCTGCAGAGGATCTTCCCAGCCGGCTCCATTCCCTTAACCAAGCCAGCCCATTCCACTTCAGTGTCCATGTCCAGGCTGTCACTGCCCTCCAAAAGTGGTTCAAAGAAGAAAGACCCGAAGCCCAAGGAACTCTTCAAGAAGGCAGAGCGAAAGGGCAAGGAGAGTTCAGCCTTGGGGCCTGCTGGCCAATTGAGCTATAATCTCATGGACACATACAATCATCAGGCACTGAAGACAGGCTCTTCCCAGAAAGCAAAGGTGGGTGCTGGCCCATGGGTTCAGCCCAACCCTTTTGGGTGTCCCTTGGACGAGCAGGGTTTCAAAAGGACAGGCTATCCTGTCCTCCTGCCACCTCCCTTAGGGCCCCTGGTGTTTGGCTACCAGTCCCACTCATTTAACAGGCATTTATTGAGACCTTTTCTATGCTGGGCACTGTGATAGGTGCTGTGGATGTAACTCTCAAGAGGCTAACAGGCTAGTGACAAAGACAGACAAAAACAAATGAGTGTAGTGAAGTATTGTGGATGCCACAATCAAAGGTGTGTGTGGGACCTTGAGACATAGTGGAGGGTTAATTCTATCTGGGTAGGGAAGATGGTCAGGAGCTCTTTTCAGAAAACATGACACTTGAGCTAAAGTTTCAAATCCTGGGCTGGAAATGAGATTTGAGAACATTGTGTATGAGTGTCAGGTTGGACTCTTGCATAGGTCCTTGAGAAAAGCCTTCCCCTAGGGCTCTACCTTGCCTCAAGATTGTGGTGCCCTCCACGGGCATCTGATGTCCCCCCACTTCTTAAGAGAATATATTTCACAAAATTGATAGGTTTCTCCTGAGTGAGCCACACATTCTCAACCTCCTGCTCCTGTGAGTGGGGGTGGGGGGCAGTATGGCAGAAGGCCTTGGTTCAGGTGGTTTTGACAGTGAACTCAACCAGTGAAACCAGAGGGAACTGGCCATCCTGATTGACCTGGGAGTCCCAGGCAGGTGACAACTGAGCCTCCTCCTTCCGCAGTTCAACATCACTGGTACCTGTTTGAATGACTCAGATGATGACTCGCCAGACTTGGACCTCGATGGGAATGAGAGCCCACTGGCCCTATTGATGTCTAATGGCAGGTGAGTGGGAAGAAGGAGCACAGAAATATTGGGACTATCAGTGGCAATATGCCACTGAGACAGGGCATGGAATTGGGATCTAGGGATTGGGACATGGATGGGGAGGGGCTGTATTTAGGGCAATACCTAGCTATTATCAGATATCATTGCTTAGTTAAAAGAACCGTGATGGTGTTGGTGGGTGGGTAGGGGGGAAGTCTAGAATCTAATTGGCAATCTTATCTTGAGAAAGCACTTATATAATGTTATAGAAATTTCAGCAAGTCATTGGGTCAGAACCACTGGTAGAAATAAGTAGTAGTATAGCATACTTGTTAAAAGCATTAGTTTTTTATATACCTTTTGACTTGGTAATTCGACTTTTAGGAATTTAATTTACAGAAATCCTTGCACAAGGTGTGTAAAGAGGAATGTTCAGTGTTCACTGCATCATTGTTTGTAATAGTAAGTAATTGGAAACATCCAAATGTTCATCAATAAGGGCTGGATAAGTAAATTGTGGTATGTATCTATAGAATGGAATACCACGTAGCTGTTAAAAATAATGAGACAGCCTAATGTCTGTTGACACAGACAGATGTCCAAGATATATTCTGAAGTGAAAAAATCAGGTTACAAAATAATATGTAGGAATAGTTCCATTTTTATTTTTATTTTTTTATTTATTTGTTTTTTTGAGACAGTGTCTCACTCTGTCTCCCCGGGTAGCATGCAGTGGCATCATCATGGTTCACTGCAACCTCAAACTCCTGGGCTCAAGCCATCCTCTTGCCTCAGCCTCCCTAGTAGCTGGGATTATAGGTGCATGCTGCCACACCTGAATAATTTTTTTTATTTTTGGTAGAGTTGGGGTCTTGCTCTTGTTCAGGCTGGCGTCGAACTCCTGACCTCAAGCGATCCTCCTGCCTCAAACTCCTGGAGTGCTAGGATTACAGGCGTGAGCCACCATGCCTGGCCCCCTTTTTATTTTTAAAAACGTGTGCACGCCCGTGTGTGTATGCATGTGTTGGCAAAGCAATATACAGACTTTTTTGTTTCTGTTTATTTCAGTTTTTTGAAGAGGTTTAAAAATACAATTTATAAGGTTTAAAAAATCAAAAAATGTTAAAGGACACACAGTAAAAAAAATCTCATACCCATCTCTCTTCCCGTTTCCCTCCCATGGATGGCCAACGTCAGTGTTTTCCCTCCAGAGATATTTGTACAGACTTAGGCAAATAAATATATTTGTTATATATTTTATACTTGTTACATCAAATTTTTAACAGTTATCTCTGGAAGGTAGGATAGCGGAGGTGGGAGAGCAGGTTTTCACTTTAGTAGCATTAGAATTTGTACAATAACCGTGTATTACTTTTCTTAAAATAATTTTTAAAGAACACTTTCTACAAGAATAAAATAGAAGCTGTTTACAACAAAATCATGGGTTTGGGAATCAGATAATTCTGAGTTCAAATCCCAGCTCTGACACATATTTGCTGTGTGACCTTGACAAACTAATTAACCTCTCTGAGCCTGTGTCCTTATTATATCTATTCTATAGCTAAAACTTACCTTAGGGTTGTTGGAGGATTAAATGAAATAATGTAAGTAAAGTGCTAATCACATGGTCTGGCACATAGTAAATGTTTAATAAATGGTAGCTCTTATAAATGTGATGATGAAGATGGAGGTAAAAGGTGGTGATGATGATGATGTAGGTATGGCCAGAAATGGTGAAATATGTAGGGAGGCTGAGGCAGGGAAAAGCATTACAGATTATCATCTAGATACTCAGAACACTAGACAGCAGCAGTCAAGAGCCAAGTACCAAGTACGAACAATGTAGGAACACAAACAACAAAGATACCTTAATAGCCTCTTTGTAGGGAAAGGTTGTCTTCAGATCCCAAGGGAGAGTGTAATAGGTCCACCTGGACGGAAAATAAGGGAAAAGGAAGTGAGAGCAGGGTGGATTCTGAAAGCAGAACTATTCTTGGGGTTTGAGAACCCAGTTACTAAAAAGTAAGATTAAAGAGCCTGTTGAACATTGCCTTTGTTCAGATCTCTTGGTAGGTTTCCTGGGGTGGAGAAAATTGAGAGTCCTAAGATATTTTGAGACATTTTCCCCTCCCCCACCAGACCTCCTTGTGCTGCTGCTTATTACCTGCCACAGCTGCCAGAAGCTGCTGTTAAGTGAACCTTGAGAGTCAAGGTATAGAAATATTTACAGATGATGTATTTTATGTCTGGGCTTTTCTCCAAATTCAGTGTTTTGTGGGGAGTGAGGAGGTATAGATGAAACAAGACTGGGTATATGTTAATTGTGGAAACTTACTTGAGTGACAGGTACATGGGAGTTCATTATACTTTTATATTTTTGTAGATGTTCAAAATTTTTTATAATTAGAAGTTAATAAAAGACCAAGGTATAAATAGTCATTATTTATTGAGCATCTGCTCTGTGTCCAAGTTTCTTAGCTGTTTACATACATTATTTTATGTAGTCATCACAACCCCAAAAATAAGTATTGTTATTCCCATTTACCAATGTGAAAAGTGAGACCCAGAGAACTTTGTTATAATATTAGCTACACTGAGCACTGGCCATGTGTCAAGCTTTCATTAGCTCATTTAATTGTCCCAACAACCCTATGATATAGAAAATAGGTTAATTTAATGACAGTGAATTCACTAAAAGGCAATTCAATAAAATTACTGCTGATCGTAAAAAAGTATACTGATTTACTAAGAACTTGTTTCTGTTTATGATGTTTATTCTAGAAGTTTATACTGGTTAATATTGTTTACCATGTGTAACAGGATTGTATAAGCCACTTTTGAGGTTTTTCCATTTCCTTTATATGTTTTTAACAAATTTCTTTAGGTATAATTTATGTACTATAAAATTAACTTGCATTAAGTATACAATTAAATGAATTTTAGTAAATTTACATAACTGTGCAACCATTGCCACTATCCAGTTTTAGGATATTTCTGTCACCCCAAAAAGATCCTTTGTGCCCATTTGCAGTCAGTCCTTTTTCTTATCCCCAGGTCCATGCAAGCCCTAATCCACTTTCTGTCTCTATGTATTTGCTTTTTCTGGACATTCCATATAAATGGAATCATACAACATGTGGCTTTTTGTGTCTGGCTTTTTTCACTTAGCCATAATGTTTTTGAGATTCATCCATGATGTGTCATATATCATTAGTTGATTCCTTTTTATTGTTGGATAGTATTCCGTTGTATCAATATACCACATTTTGTTTACCTATTCACTAGTTGATGGTCATTTGGATTACTTCTAGTTTTTGGCTATTATGAATAATGTTGCTCTGAGCATTTGTGTACAAGTTTTTGTGTGGACATACGTTTTCATTTCTTACCTACAAGTAAAATTGTTGAGTCATATGATAACTCTATGTTTAGCTTTTTAAGAAACTTCCAAGCATTATTCCAAAGTGTCTGTACCATTTTACATTTCAACCAGCAATCGTAAGTTTTTCCATATACTGGCCAACACTTGTTATTTTTTTGTCTTTTTGATTATAGCCATTGTGGTGGATGTAAAGTGGTATCTCTTTTGTGTATTTTCTTAAAATAAAAATTGTGTACATTCAAGGTGTACAATGTGATGTTTGATATACAGTGACACTGTGAAATGATTACTACAGTCAAGCCAATTAACATATCCGTCATCTCACATAGTTACCATTTTTTGTGTGTGTATTTGTGTGTGGTGAGAATATGCATATCTACTCTCTTAGGAAATTTAAGGTATACAATACAGTATTAACTATAGTCACCTTGCCGTACGTTACAGCTCTAGAACTTATCCATCCTACATAACTGAAACTTTGTACCCCATTCACCTTCCCCTAATAACCACTATTGTACACTTTGCTTCTATGAGTTTAACTTTTTAAGATTCCACATATAAGTGAGGTCATGCAATATTTTTTTTTCCTGTGGCTTGTTTCACTTAACATATTTTCCAGGTTCATCTGTGTTGTTGCAAATGACAGGATGGTTTTGATTTGCATTTCCCTAATGACTCATGATGTTGAATATCGTTGTGCATCTTTTTGTGTGATTATCGGCCATTCGTATATCATCTTTGGAGAAATGTCCGTTTAGACCCTTTGCCTTTTTTTTTTTTTTTTTTTTTTTTGACACGGTCTCCTTCTGTCGTCTAGGCTAGAGCACAATGGTGTCATCATAGCTTACTGCAACTGTAAACTCCTGGGCTCAAGCGATCTTCCTCCTTCAACCTCCTGAGTAGCTGAGACTACAGGCGGCCGCCACAATGCCTGGCTAATTTTTCTATTTTTTGTAGAGATGGGGTCTTGCTCTTGCTCAGGCTCATCTTGAACTCTTGGCCTCAAGCAATCCTCCCATCTTCACCTCCCAAAGTGCTAGGATTACAGGCATGAACCACTGGCCTTTTTGCTTGTTTTTAAATTGGCTTATTTTATTATTGACTTCTAAGAGTTCTTTAAGTATTCTGGATATAAAACCTTTGCCAGATAAATGATCTGCAAATATTTTCTCCCAGTCCATGGCTTGTCTTTTCGTTTTCTTAATGGTTTCTTTTGAAGCATAAAAGTTTAAAATTTTACCTAATCCCAGGTCACAAAGATATTTTTCTGTATTTTCTTATAGAATTTTTATCCTTTTATCTTTTACTTTTAGATCTATGATACATTTTGTGTTAATTTTTGTGTATGACGTGAGGTAAGGGTCCACATTCATTTCTTTGCATATGGATATCCAGTTGTCTCAGCACCATTTGTTGAAAGGACATTCCTTTCCTCCACTGAATTGCCTTGGCCTCTTTGTCAAAAATCTGTTGATCATAAATTTAAGGGTTTATTCAGGACTCATGGTTCTGTTTCCCTGATCTGTATGTCTGTCCTTATGCCAATATCACACTGCCTTGATTACCATGGATTTAGAGTAAGTTTTTAAATTGAATAGTATAAGTCTTCCACCTTTGTTCTTTTTCAAAATTATTTTGTCTGTGTTAGGTGTTTTGCATGTCCATGTACCTTTTTCTATCAGCTTGTCAATTTTTACAGAACTGGATTTTGATTGAGATTGGGATTGTATTGACTCTGTAGATCAATTTGGGGAAAATTGCCATCTTAATAATATGTATGACTATTTGTTTTTATGTTCTCTTTCCCTTTTTCTCTAGTACCAAGAGGATGAAGAGCCTATCCAAGTCTCGGCGAGCCAAGATTGCAAAGAAGGCAGAGAAGGCTAGGCTGGTGCCAGGACAGGTGATGGAGGATGAATTTGACCTGGATTCAGATGATGAGCTGCAGATTGATGAAAGATTGGGAAAGAAGGCGACCCTGATAATAAGACCAAGTGTGTCTCTGTTCTTTCTCTTTCCTTCCCTGCCCGTTTTGCATTAGTTTTTGACCCCTGTGATAGACTCAAGACCTTATGCCTGAGCTTGTGGACATTCTGATTTACTAAGCTCTACAGACCTCCATTTTTTCCTTTGTTCTAGGGATTTATTTGTCAGCTGATTCCTAAACTCTCTAAATTAGTCATCTGTGGTCATTACTTCCAGTAAAATTAGTCTTATTTTCCTTCCTCTGGATATTTGGTTCAAATGCTAATCTTAGCTTCATAATAAGTGCCTTCCATTGTTTTCTAGAATTTCCCCGGAAATTACCCCGTGCAAAACCTTGCTCTGACCCCAACCGAGTTCGTGAACCAGGAGAAGTTGAGTTTGACATTGAGGTAGGAGCCTGCCCTGTATCTAGTCGTCTTCTCATTCTGGTAACAGAAACAGAAGATAGATTGTCATTCTAGTTGGGGGAAGGGGGAAGACAACCTATGCCTTCAATTCTCGAAATACTTATTAAGTGAAAGATTGTATGTTAAGTGCTGCTGAGCATATAAATGGAAGATTACAATTTAGTTGAAATATTTTAAAAGTCCCTTAGTACAGAGTAGAATAAAAGGCAGTGTGATGTAGTCGAAATAACATCTGGTTTGGAGTATCTGAAGTGACCTTACGTGAATTATTTAACTTCACTGAACCTTAGTTTTCTTATCTGTAAAATGGGAGTTATATAATACCTACCTCACTAAGATGCTATGGAGATTAAGATGAAAGAATGAATATTATGCTTAGTACTTGGTCTATATTTGGTGCTCAGAAGATTAGTGTCAGGAGTCAGACTGTCGTACCAAATGAACCCTGGGCAGTTGAGGTGATATGCTCTCTCTCCAACAGGAGGACTATACAACAGATGAGGACATGGTGGAAGGGGTTGAAGGCAAGCTTGGGAATGGGAGTGGAGCTGGTGGAATTCTTGATCTGCTCAAGGCCAGCAGGCAGGTGGGGGGACCTGACTATGCTGCCCTCACGTGAGTATTGGCTTTGGTCTCCCCTTTTCATTCAGACAGCACCCACCTCCCACCCAAGGGGCTAGGTTAGCCAATCAGATATTTATTGAGCCATTTAAAGGGACAAAGAATTATCCAGGGCATTTGGGCTGAAAGAATAAAGTAGGCATTAAACCTGTCCTAAGGAACTTAAGATTTGACAGTGATAAGATCTGTAGACTTCAAGGGGAATCAATTTTGGACACTTTGGAAGTTCTAAGAGGGGCTGCAAGATTCATGGAAGGAGAACTGTTAAAAAGAAATAATGCAGCATGGGTGAACAGAGAGGGATGTGTGCCCCCTTTTTGCCACCTTGCCTGCTGTCTGTAGAGAGACTTTAAGGCAAGAAAGACTGGCTTTTCATGAAAACAATCTGATACTATCCTGATCCTTTAGCTTGATTTCTAATTTTTCACTTTGAATGGTCCTCCCCTTCTTCCTCTCACCCTGATCCCCATAGCTGTTGCCCCTTCTCCCTGAGTATTTTGATGAATGGTTTCTTCTGACACCTAGAGAAACTCCCTCAGCATTTTTCTTCTGTCCCTTGCAGTGAGGCCCCAGCCTCTCCCAGCACTCAGGAGGCCATCCAGGGCATGCTATGCATGGCCAACCTGCAGTCTTCATCGTCCTCACCGGCTACCTCCAGCCTGCAGGCCTGGTGGACCGGGGGGCAGGACCGAAGCAGCGGGAGCTCCAGCAGTGGGCTGGGCACAGTGTCTAACAGTCCTGCTTCCCAGCGCACCCCAGGGAAGCGGCCCATCAAGCGGCCAGCATATTGGAGAACTGAGAGCGAGGAGGAGGAGAACGCCAGTCTGGATGAACAGGACAGCTTGGGAGCATGCTTCAAGGATGCAGAGTATAGTAAGGGCAACTAAGCATGTGGGTCCAGGCCAGAAGGGGTTCCCTCAATCCCAGTCCCAATAAAGAACAGCCTGTAGTGAGCAAAGGCCTGGCCTTACACCTGATACTTAGTTTCTCTGAGCCATGTTTTCCTAATTTGTAAAATGGAGATATCTCACAGGTTGATATAAGAATTAGAGATTATGCTTGCATAGAGCATCTGGCACAGTTTCTTGTTCATGGGAAGCCCTAAAAAAATGGTAGCTATTATAATTAGCTATCATCTATTTTTAGTACTGTCCAATCTTCACTGGTGGTGACTCTTTTTTTTCCTCTTGCCTATTTTACTTCCATCGCCTATATTATTTGTGTTCTATGTCAGCCAGTTTATCCCTCGCAAAGTTATTTAATGAACTTTCAGTGGGCTTTTTACATTTAAAGATGACTTATTTTTTTAACCACTATTTATTGAGTACTGCAAAGCACTTTTTTGTGTAATAAGGTGACTAATGTGGGTTTTAATTTTAATATTCTTTTCAAAAATTACACAAATATGGTTAATGTTCATTGACCCAAATTAGAACAAGACAGAGACAGGAAAAATTCCTTTTGACTAACACTCCTCCCTCTTTGAGCCCAAAGATAACCTTTGTTATAAGTTTGATGTATACCTTTCATTTTGTTGTGTTTACATCCATATGTAGACATATGTAGATAGAGGTACAGTTTTCTTTAGTGTTTGTGGTTCTGCAGCTTGCTTAGGTATCTTTCAACATCAGTTCATAGAGATATACTTCATCAATACATAGAGATCTACCTGCTGCATAGTATTCTATAGCATAAATGTATATCATATGTTTAATCATTTCCTGATTGACATTTAGGTTGTCTAAGTTTTTATTTTTACTAACAGTGCTGCAGTGAAAACTCTTATAAGTAACCTTTTGTGCCTATATGCTAGTTAATATTTCTCTAGAATAGATAGACCTATTGGGTTGAAGGGTATGTGCAAGCAAATATTAAATATTGCCAGATTTCCCTCTAAAAGGGCCAGTATCTGAGCAGTGTTCGAGAAATACCTGTTTCCCTACAGCCTTACAGTGGTGGATGCTATCAGCCTTTTAAATTTTTGCCAATCCCGTGGCAAAAGATGGTGTCTCTGTTTATTTGTTTTGTGTGTTCATTGACTCTTCTTTATTCCTTTTCTGTGAATTTTCTATTTAATCTTTCATCTATTTTTCTATTGGGATGTTTGTTTTTCTTATTGATTTGTAGGAGTTCTGCATATATTCTAGATTTATTGGAGTGTTTTTGTATATTCTGGATATTTTTGGAAAATATTTTCTTTCAGACTATTGTATTTTAATTTTATTTATGGTGTCTTTTAGCATGTAGAATATTTCAATTTTTATGTAGTTATCTTTGAATTATTTATAGTTTTTCATATTTTATATTTTGAGTAAGAGGGCCCTCTCATTTTCACCTACAACTGTGTAGGAGTTAACATTTTAGCTCTTTATCTGGAATTAAGTTTTGTGAATTGTGGGAGATGAGAATCTCAATTTATTTTTTTCCACATGGATAGTCTATTTGCCCCAATACCATTTATTGACTAGTTCATCATTATCCCCCTGATTCAAAGTTTCACCCTCGTCATAAACTAAATTCCCATATATATGTGGATTTATTTTTCTAGTTTAGTCCCAGTTCTGTGTCTTAATAGCTATGTGACCTTGGGCAAGCTAGTTAACCCTATTGTGCCTCTCTATGATAGAAGTACCTACCTCATAGGTTGTCGGGAGGGTTAAATAAATATGCATAAAGCACTTAAAACATTGCCCAGCACGTGGTAAGTACTACGTGTTATATATTAGTAATATTATTCCATTCCATAAAATCAATTTGTTCACCTACAGTACCATGTAGGTTAGTTGCTATAGGCCTTGTTTCTGGTAGAGCAAATCCCCTCTGCAGACCTTGTTTGGACCTGAGGAGAGCACAGATGCTCAGCAAGCCTCACATGTCTGAGCTAAGCTGTGATTTTTTTTTTTTTTTTTTGAGACAGAGTCTCACTCTCTTGCCTGGGTTAGAGTGCCGTGGCATCAGCCTAGCTCACAGCAACCTCAAACTCCTGGGCTCAAGAGATCCTCCTGTCTCAGCCTCCCAGGTAGCTGGGACTACAGGCATGTGCCACCATGCCCGGCTAATTTTTTCTATTTTTAGTTGTTGGACTAATTTCTTTCTATTTACAGTGGAGACAGGGTCTCACTCTTGCTCAGGCTGGTCTCGAACTCCTGAGCTCAAGCAATCCTCCTGCCTTGGCCTCCCAGAGTGCTAGGATTACAGGCGTGAGCCACCGTGCCCGGCAAGCTGTGATTGATCTTAGAGATTTGTCAGGTTCCCTTGGCTGCCCACCCTACCTTCAGCAGTCAGTCACATTGACCTACAGTCAAGACATCTGGACTTCATTTAATCAGTCCTCTCAGAAGAAACAGCTCACTCAGCCTCTGCTTCCCCCTTCCCCTCCCTGCTTTGCCTGGCAACACTGGAAAGGCAATTTAACAAGCAAAGACCTCACTACTTCTTAGTTTTCCAGAATTTTGAGGCTGCTATTGAGCTTTTTCTATTCCAGATGAATTTTAGAATCAGCTTGTCAAATTCCATTTTATTAGGATTGCATGGCATTTGTAGATTAATTTATGGAGACTGACATCTTTCATCAGAAGCCTTTCTGCTATAATTGAATATGTGCATTCCTGAAAAACCTCATGTCCTGAAAATTTGTACACTAAAAATAATAGGACATATAAGAAAAAGATATTGGGACCATAGCTCTCAAAATCTGTGTGATTTTGAAGCCATAACACTGACCCAGCTAATAGTGGTCCTAATAATAATCCTTGCCCAGTTAGAGCCCATTGGCATTTGCACTCAGCATCACAGTCAGTGGATCTTCTATAATCTTAAACCCTGGACTCAGGTTTCCTTTTTCCAGATGTTGTTTCTTGAGGACATTTGCTTAAAATGGATACCGGCTTTATCAAATTAAAATCTGATCCGGGGCCTAGTCTTTATCGATTTTTCTTTTTTAAAAACACATAAGGAAATGTCTTTGCAACTTCTCTCTCAGCTAGCCTCCTGTCACCAGAACTTAATTTTGTAGAAAACAGTGCAACCATTTACTTTTTCTCTGATAAGAGACACTATTGTAGGATTTTTAGCTTTTGTCTATACATCTTTATGTCTCGGGCTTTCTCTGTAGTTGTGAGAAAGTCTACCATGGTTAAAAACAACATGCCAGGGCAAATTGTTGAACACCTTCTGGACAGCATCGACATCATTTCCCTATTTATCTTTCGGATATGAGCAGTCACAAAACAGGCCATCTTGTTTTCCTGTCTTCAGACACAGTCTCTCTCTCCATTTATTCGGGTCTTTTTGTATATCTCTTCTTTGGCTTATTTCTTCTTTATTCTTACGTATTTTGATTACTATGAAAAGTGGCATCTTTTTATGTATTACATTTTCTAATTGGCTATTGTTAATATGGAGGAAAATAGTTGATTTCTCCATGTTGATCCTGTGTTGGACTGCTTTACCATACTCTTTTTAGTTCTATTAGTTTTTCAGTTAATTGTCTTCTTGAGTTCTTGAGGTAGGTGATCTATGTGTCATATTAGTTTAGTAGAGCTCCCATAATAAACTACCACAGACTGGGGGGCTTAAACAACAGAAATTTATTTTTTCACACTTCTCAAGGCTGAATGTCCAAGATGAAGATGCTGGCAGGATTTGTTTCTCCTGAGGGCTCTCTCTCTGGCTTGCCGATGGCCTCCCTGTTGCACACATGCCTCTAATGTCTCTGTGTGTGTCCTAATTGCCTCCTCTTATAAGGTCACCAGTCAGATTGGATTAGGGCCCACCCTAATGGTCTCATTTTAATTTAATGACTTCTTTAAAGGCCCTGCATCTAAATGTAGTCACATTCTGAATACTGTGGGTTAGGGATTCAACATAGGAATTTGGGGAGAGCAGGACACAGTTCAGCCCATAACATCTGTTTTCTTTCCAGTATTCATACCTCTAGCTTTTTCTAGTTTCATTACAATGTTGAGTCATAGTGATGATAGGGGGCATCCTTATGCTGTTTCAGACTTTAAAGGTAATGTTGCCAATGTTTCTCCACTCAATAGGTGGGTCTTTGTAGGTCTCTGATAGGCTATTCTCATAAATTTCAGGAGTCTCTATCTCTAGTTCAAAAAGTTTTTTGTTTTAAAATCAAGAGTGGTATTAGGTTTTATCAGATAGTTTTTTGGCATCTTTTGGCATTTTGATGCAAATACATAGTTTTTCTATGCTATTAATAATTTAATATTAGAATTACTGATTTTAAATTGACATTTTTTGAGATTAGGTATACTTGGTTGTGGTATGTAATAATTGTCTAGTTTATTTGATTACCAATCTTTTCAAAAACTAGTTTTTGGTTTTATTGATAATCTCTGGTATTTGTTTATTATTTTCTTGATTTCTGATACTATTTTATTCCCTTGTTTAATGTTCTTTGTCTAACATCTTGAGTTAAAAGCTCTGCTGATATATTTTCAATCTACTTTTTGATAAAGGATTGCTTTTTAAAATTAATGTAAAGTAAATTGACTTTTTTTGTATACACATGTTTAGATTCTTGCAACCACCATAATCAGGGTATGGAACACTTTGATCACCTCCTAAACTCCCTTATATTATTACCCTCTTTGTAGTCATGCTCTCCCTCTACTCCTCACCCCTGGCAACCACTAGTCTTCTCTCCATCACTGTGGTTTTGCCTTTGCTAGAATGTCAGATAAGTGGAATTATGCAGTATGTAATATTTTTACACTGACATCTTTTACTCAGCATAATGCCTTTAAAATACATTATGTTGCTGTATATCAATAGCTTGTTCCTTTTTATTGCTGAGTAGTATTCCAGTGTATAGATACAAAGGACATTTAGGTTATTTCCAGTTTGAGGCAATT